AAGATATTTTGAAGAATATGGGTAACCAAACAGTTGCTGGTCTCTATTGACTTCCATAGTATGGAAAAAAAAATTATTGTATCAAACCAAGTGGTATGCATTAAGAAACATAGCTCACTTTTTAAGTAAATGTTTGTTGGGTTTTAAATCATACAGTGATATGTTGCAAATGAGTAGTTTGTTCAAAGTAAAATTTAACCTGGCTTTGCCATCATTTGTTTTCAGATGTCTCTTGGGTTGATACTTTGCTCTTAAATGCGGTTACATTCAGACATTAAATTATGGCTGAAATACAGCACATTTGTGGCCACTATGCATAAGACAGAGAAGTGATTGTGACATTAAAAAGCCACTCTGCTATCTTCAAATTTGGTACTGAGCAGTTTACACTTTGTGGTGGTAAGGAAGGGAATGTTAGATTTCCCTCTCTCCCTCTCTTCCATAAGCACATTGACACAACACCAGCTGTCCAGGTCCCCAAACAAACACCCACCCCCCTCCCCCAAAAAAAACTCAACTGGCCCATTACCTCACCTTAACTTGTTAACACTTTCCTGCTCTGATCTCTCTGGCTCTTTTTGGTTGTTTCTCTGTTTAAAGGACTGACCTTTTGGTGTCCAGCTGTAGAGCATGAAAGTCAGCAGGAACAATGTCAACTTACAAAGTGTTTCATCATCAGCCACCTCTGACTGACTCTTACAGTTATTTGATTTGACATTTCCATTGGTCACGGAGACAATTCCTAGTTCCTAGTGTGGTTATGTTATTAATGGGGTTTTTATTTCCAAATCGACTTATTTTCACATTTTCATGGACAGAAACAGAAATAGGTGTGTTTATTTACATTTTATTTATAAGATGACATGTTTTTGTAACCGCACTATTGTGAATTTCCCATGGTTCAGTATTGCAAAATATAAAATGTCAAATTTAGTGTGATCTCATTCTCCGAGACTCAATTTCAAGTCAGTCTTAATGAAGCTGTCACAAATGGAAATCCACTCGCTGCCCTGCACATCTCTGTCCTGTTTTAATTTAATTCCACCTTTCTCTCCCTCTCTCACTCTCTGCTATTACTATGTTGATAACATCACTCTTTTTCACACTTTTCTTGTGGGAGTGTATCTGTTTGGACACTATAACATTCTTTGTTGTTTTTTAAAATCATTTTATATGAATTAACTGCCAGTTAGTGGATGTGTAGATGTGTGAATTCACTGTGGTAATGTAGTGGATCAAAGAGACAGTGTGACCAGTAGAAAGCTGTAGAGATTGGCCAGTTTCTTCAGTTTGTGTGACGTTTGACTGTTCTTTTGACAGCCCAGGGTTTAAAAGCCAGGTTCGTATGGACATGTTTTCACTCCACTTGCACTGCTGTTGGATTCTTCGGCGTTGTTGCTCTTCATCTGTCTGTTTTATTTTAGTGCATTCATCCGTTTGTCCCCACAAAACCCACCCACATCCCACGTCTGCCTGACATGCCATTCACACGGCCGGTGATTGGCCTCTGGCCACGTTTGACTGATTCTGATTGGCTAATATGAAGAATTAGACTAAACAAAGACAGCTCTCTTCATCAAGTTCTGTTTCTCTTGATCTAATGGTCTCCTGTTTCGGAAAGAGGAGTTCACGATTGCTATGTAAAGTGCTCCACTCAGCAGGAAGAGGTAATGTGAGGTCAGCTCAACGCACACCCTGTTTAGATGCTCCTCCAGTCCTCAGAATGATGAAATGCTGTGTTTTGTTAGCAGAGGACGCTGCAGAGCCACTGCATTGCAGGCCTTTTGGGCTGGGCTTACTGCAAGTGCATCTGCACTGCTGATAAACCAAAGATCCTGGGACTTGCGCTTTTTCAATGCTGCGGTCTGTCTTCTCGTCTGTAAACAGTGAGCTCATGTGTCTCGTGATTAATTCTGTTCTACCGTCGTATTTTTTTAGAGGCACATGCGAGTCCCTTTCTGTAATTGGCCATATGCTGGTTTTTGATGTGCGCTCTGTGGCCTCCTCTGCAGACTGTAAATACAGAAAAGGAAATGATCGATATGTAGGAATGAAGGAATGAAGATATGTAAAAGGAGAGATCGACCAACATTCATTCTGTATGACCAATAAGATACTGATTGTTGGGTATGATAACCAACATGCAGAATTGATTTTTAGTAATTGTTAGTTCTGCTTTTTGACACAATACTTTCTTTTTTATAAAAACAATATTACTAGTTGTTTTGAGATACACACTACTATTCAAAAGAATTAGGACTTTATATCAAGACTTATATCAAGATTTATGCTTTGTTAGTTTTGGTATGAAAAAAGTCTGTTTTCAGATTGTCAATTTTATTATTAAATTCAAACAATAAATACCATTTTTCGCTCTTTAATGTAGTATGACAGATCACTGCAGGCGCCTCAGTACAAGTAGTAGTGCGGAGCACCAGTGAACCAATCATCTCTTCCTCTTTACTATCAGTTACTGCATGATAGTAAAACCCCGTTCACACCAAGAATGAAAACTATAAAGATAACTATAATAGCGTCCACACCAGCGAACGATATCGTCTGTTTATTCCAAGCACACTTGCGTCTGCCGCTTTAAATTCTCGAGCTCGCTATAGCAGGATGGATTCTGATTGGCTGTTAATGTTTGTATCGTTCATCAGCTGGAAAAAAATCGTTCTCGAAGTGATTCCAATGATATCGTTTCTCTGTGCCTTTATCGTTATAGTTGTGGTGTGGACTCTGCTATTCTTTGATATTGAGAACGATTTTTAGAACTATGTCTTTATCGTTATCTTTATAGTTATCGTGCTTGGTGTGAACGGGCCTTTACTGTTAAACTCACAATAGTTACAGTTACTGTCTCTATAATCACTCAAGTCAATGAAATCCGTTACAGGAAGAAATTATATTTTAAAGTTATTTTAAGTTGTAATAATATTTCACAATACTAGTGTTTTTACTGTAGTTTTGATCAAATAAGTGCAGTCTTGGTGAGCATAAGAGACTTATTTCAAAAACATTTAAATGATCAACCCCAAACTTTTAAATGTTAGTTTTTATACAAATAAAAATTCACATAAAAAAGGTTTAGTTATGCAAAAAGCAGTGCTCAGAGGAAATGTAATTTACATAAATGTAATCATAACCCAACCCTTAAGTGAGTTAGGGACTTTTCAGGAGGCCTGTTGCAATAACCCCATTAAATAAATGGAAAAATATGATCACATCCCAGTAGCAATCTTAACACCAAAGCAAGAAAAATAAATGGAGTAGCTATTTGAAGCGCTACTTAAAACAAGCCTCATGGTTCTCTAATAACAGACTGAAACACTGTTGATTTTATTGTTATTATATATATATATATATTTATTTATATTTATTTATTTTCAGCATCCAATTTGGCCAAACTGCTGAAGAGTGTGGCAAACAATCGGCAGTGCTAATGGAAAGTGGGTGTGTCTTGTGGGGGTGACCACTCCCTCCCTACCCATAATGCTGTAACCTAGTTCTTGCTCCAGTCATCGCCTCTCACACAACACTCATGGCTGCTCCATCTTATGCTCACCCTCTGTAGGTTGTGACATCTGTTTAGATGACCTTGTGCATCACTGCTGTATGCTCGGCCTCATCTCTAACAACATCCTGAGCTCTCTGCTGCCCTCTCCCTCCCTGTATATGCTTACTACTACTATACAGACGTGACTAACCCCGCCGTTTCTTTTTGTTAAAAGTGGTTTAACAAAAAGCTGCATGCTGGTTAATGGTTTTTGTTTTCATCTCTTTCTTTTTTTTCATAATGGCCTTTATTTGTGGTGTGTGTAGATAAGTATTTTTTTTTCTCTCAATGCACACATTTTTTATTTTTCTTTATGCTTGGATCAGATACGTTTTTTTTTTTGCCATGACTTTAAGCTTGAATTTTTTTATTCTTGCATTTCATATTTTTCTTTGTATACCCTGTGTTTTTTTTTCTTTTTTTTCTTTTTTATGAAGCATCAGATCAGTATGTAAAATGCAAACACGCACTCACCCACATGCAGATCGGGCCTCTCAATGGTAACCTGAGGCCTCCCTCTTTCTCCACTTTACTTTTTGTCTCTTCATAAATCTATCGATCTAACTGTCTGTCTGACTGTCTCGCTCCTCGATCTCCTCCTTTCGCTCTCGTTACAGCTACATACTGTATGTTTTTTTTTTGTGGTGCCTCTTGTCATGATGATGAACTCGCATAAAGCTTGTGAAAGTTTTTGGTTTTTATGTGTATGCAAGCTTTGTGTCGTTACTTCCCCCTTAGTTGTTTGTGTATTAATCTCCCTCCCTGAGACGGTTTATATATGTATTTTTGTCATGATATGTATATAACCGTATGTCCCTGCCTCCTTCCTTTGAGACTGAAAGTGAATTAGTAGACTCAGAGGTTGGTAGTGTTTACATCACTTTTCTTTTAGCTGTTACCTCCACTAGTTGTTCTATTGAGAAATGCCCCATTTAAGATATAGATTAGATGTCAGACTATAGAATTTAGTATGAAGTTGGGTTCAGTTAATCCTGCACAGAAACAGATGTGCCTTATTACAGAGCCCAGAGACTTTTCCTCCTCTTGTTCTTTCTTTCTATCTCCCTCTGTTCTTCCTCTCTCTCTCTCCCTTCTTCTCCCCATCTGACAAGGAGTTTAAAAGTGTAGCAAATGTAGCTTTTGTTGATGACAGTGAGTGAAGATGTTTTGACAGTTGACTGGCTACCACATGTACTTGTGAGTGAGTGAGTGAGTGAGTGAGTGAGTGAGTGTGTGTGTGTGTGTGTGTGTGTGTGTGTGTGTGTGTGTGCTGAGTGAGTGAGTGAATATGTGCGTGTGTGAGGAAAGCACTTCTTATTATTGGAATATTGTGGTCTTTCTTTCCTCTCTTCCTCACATCAGGATAACATTGGGCACCGGCTCCTTCAGAAACATGGCTGGAAGTTGGGTCAAGGCCTGGGCAAAACCATGCAGGGTAAGCAAGCAACCTTCTCTGTCAAACTCAGTCTCTCCTACTCTCTCTCTCTCATGATTTCCACCCAACAGAATCGATGCCCTATGGTTTGATCCGTTGTAAAAAATGTTTTCTTTCTTTTCTGATCTCTCTCTATTCTGTTCCAGCACACCCATTTGTATTTCTCATTTGTACTGACATGAATGTCTATGTGAGGAATGAGTTTGTTTGGACTGTAGTGTTGATATATACAGTGAATGGGGGAAGACAGGGTGTGATGGATAGAGGAAGGAGTTGGTAACTTGGCCATGGGGTGGCATCAGATAAGCACTGAGTGTACTAGCTTTCCTGTGGAGCATTATGGTCTAGAGTAGATATGGACATGAGATGGGCATTTGAGTAATTTTGTAGTTGACACAAAATTATAAAATCACACAATTATATATTGATTAATTAATCCTCCTAGGCTGTTTGGATATTTTTTGACCAGTTACATTTTTGATTATTTAATGAAAATGGTTTCCTACATCTGAGTCATTCAGACTTTTAGATGCAAAAAAGCAAAACAATAAACTTCTTACAAAAAAAAAAAAAAGCCATAACTTGACTGTTCAGTCAAAATTAAGCAACCATGGGAAATGAATGGGAAATACCCAGTACCCATACACAACTTTTTGGTTAATATGAATAATATTAATCTATGTATCAGCCACAATTTTGAACAAACCCAACTATGAAACATCCAGAGTGCAAATGATTCATACCCACCCAAAAGTTACACTTTTTCTGTTTGCAAGGGGAAACAGTCGCAAAATTACCCCAGTTCAGGAGGGTAAAAAGTGCATAATTTTATTGTTACTACTTCACATAAGTAAGGTGCGACCACTACTTCACAGAACAGCCCAAGTGAGACCATTTCTGAACAGCTTAGGAGAGTTCGATTTCAATTGTCATTTTAAAATAAGTAGCCTATTCATTACAGAATTAAGATTTAAAAAATAAAATAAGGGATTGATTCAGTAGGAAGTGTTTCTACTACTTGACTGCTCAATTACTCATGAACATCCCTGATATGGACAGACATGTTTTTATGTAGCCCAGGATCAAAGAGAAATCAAAACATAAACACTCATGAGATCTTCTTGATCAAACAAGGTAAAGGCATTCATTTACTTTGTGTTCTTTTGTAGTGCCTTCGTTGAGGAAGATCAGCTCTTTCGTTTCTTTCTCCTTCCGTCTGTCCTCTCCCAGTTCCCCCTTTACTTTCTCCCCTGCACTTGACTTGTGGCCTGCAGAATGTCAGAGATGCTGTATTCATGCAGTCTTGTTGTCTGCATTCAATTGTTGTTTGGTTTGCATGTGTGTGAGAAAGTAGAATAACATGCACATGAGCCATTCTTCCCTATCACTTTGTCTCTCATTGCGCAAAAAGCAGAGTTGAAATGTACAGAGAGTAAGGTTTAATGTAGACTTTTCGTAAGCAAATTGTAACAGTTTGGCACTTGTGAGCAAAAGTCACATTATATGAGTAAGGAAACACAGTTACTTGGAAGGGAGTGTCTTTTTTGGACAAGGACAGAGTAGATGCTTAAATTTCCCCCAAGACACAGAAACGTTAGACCTCTATAGACTCTGTTTTTGGTCATTACCTCATGCTGATGCAGTCATTGGCAAACCAAGGTCTGTGTAGAAATTGATCAGGAGTTTCTGAGACACACGCACACATCTTATCGCCTCCTCAGGATGCATGTGTGCTGCAGTCACGCTGCAAAGCCTGCAGGAAATAAAGCACACAATGAGGAATGCTAGCATGCGTCATCCTCTTAGTGCATCAATTTAATAGTAAGTGCAGAATAAAATGTAGTGTATTATCGCCTGAAAGGATTTTTAGATATTTGAGCACATTTCAACAGGAGGAAAGATTTGCGATGTTCTAGGTCTTGATCTCTTTCTTTTGTTCTTTCCCTTTATTTCTCACTACAACTTTGGAGTGTGTTGAAGGTTTTGTTTGTTTGCACAGAAACATGAAAACACCCTCATGTTTCAGTAAATTGATCTGCCCACATGTAAATCAGGACGATCTGTTCTCAACACAAGGTGAAAGAAGGCAAACCCAGCTGCCTTGTTACAATGACCTTTACAGATCGTTTTAGCAGAAGGTTTTGATTCAAAGAGAAATTGCTCTGACAGAAATCAATGATAGGAATATGAATGGCTCTCTCAGGACTAGGGCTGGGTATCGAGTTCGATACTTTTTAGTAGGGCTGCAACAACGAATCGATTAAATCGATAAAAATCGATTACTAAAAGAGTTGGCAACGAATTTCATAATCGATTCGTTGTGTCGCGCGACGCGGAGACGTTTGATTATTAAAAAAAAAAAAAAAAACTTTAGTTGAGCGCGGAGCAGAGTGAACACACTCGGTCTCTCTCGCGCACTGATGCTAGCAGAGTTCGGCGCCTCATATAGGCCCTGTCCCAAATGGCGCACTTCATGTGGACTTTCGGTCTCGTGGACTTAAATTGCGCGTGCTCGCCGAGTCTACGAGTCCGTAGCCCGTCCCATTCAGCATTTTAACGCTCTGAAGTGTGCTCAGCAGCACCCCCTTTGTACCCTTGAAGCGGTCTTCCGCGAAGCCCGCATAGATGCAGGCTCCGCACACTTTAACTACCCAGGAATCTTTGCGAAATGCCAATCAGACAACGGATGGGAGGAGATTTCGCTCAAGAGCAATTGATGACATGGCTGAGAAGAAAATATTTAAGTGTAGGTATCATTACGGTTTTTATGACCTAGGTGTACATTTTACCAGTTGTTACCTACAGTTTATACAAACATTATGGTCATCGACCAGTGGTTGATATCTCAAACATAATAATAGCGCGTTGAATAATACGATCGCATTATGATTCATTAAATAAATAGAACCGAATGTCAGGGCTTTACTGAGTCATATGTAAACCTAGTATATTTAAACCTGTAAATTCATCTGAAACTCACGCACATGTTTATTATGTGTTAAAATTGTAATCTTAGTTCAAATGGAACATAGGCAGCATATTCCCCGAACCTGCAGCTCCTGTCAAAAAACAACCAGACCGTTATTTCCGGCGTGACGATCGAGTCTGTCCCAAAAATACCTCTCAATGCGCCCTCGTGGACTCGCGCCAAGGGCCCTATAGGTCTGCACTACATGACGTCACCAAAGTGTGGACTCTGAGGAAGTCCACAAGTCCGGAGTGTGCCATTTGGGACAGGGCTAAAGACAGGGCGGAGCAAAAATTTAAAAAAACGAGCGGAGGTAGAGGAAAGATACATGGCGGAGGCAGAGAAATCCGTGCGACCCAAGTCATCCAAGGTGTGGGAGCATTTCACACTAAATAAACAGAAAAAGTGTGTTAACTGCAAAATATGCAAAAGCGACATGGCATGGCACGGGAGCACCACGGCAATGATCCAGCACCTGAAACGCAAACATGTTGGAGTCTTTGATGAGGAGGAAGGGAGTTCAACAGCAGGGTAAGTCACTACAGAATCCTACTTTTGTTCCGTTTTGAAGTGAGGAACGTAATGTCCCTGGTGCTGGTGTTTACTCGTTATCCAGCTTGACAAGCATGACAAGTTAGCGTTAGCTCGTTAATAACAGTAGTAAAGCAGGGGTGGTATAGTTACTTTGCACTTTGCATTGCAAGACTAAAGACATGTTTTTATTCACTCGCCTTTTTTGGACCATTCATTTTTCAATCTGTTGTCATGTATAGCTACACTGCAATAAAAGCTTTTCTTACTTAGTAATTTTGTCTCGTTTCCAGTCCAAATATCTAAAAAATCTTAAATCAAGATTACTAGACAAGAAAAATGGCATGAGAAAATTAAGTGATGCTTAAAACTTCTGTTTGAGATTATATCTCATTAAGATTATTTTTCTTACCCCATTGGCAGATAATTTTGCTTGTTTTAAACAAACAATCACTTAATTTTGAGGTGTTTTTTCAGAAAACAAGACATAATTTCTTATGCTATTTCATGTGTCTAGTAAATGTATCTTGATTTAAGATTTTTTAGATATTTGGACTGAAAACAGGACAAAACTACTAAGTTAGAAAAGCATTTTTTGCAGTGTATATTCTGTGCTTTGTCCCATATAGGTTATTATTGACATATATTTGTGTGTGTTGTACTTTTTAATTTAATTTTAAAGTTCTTTTATAGCACTTGGTCATCTTAAGCTGTGTTTAAATGTGGTGTATAAATGAACCTTGCACTTACTACAATGATGGTAATAATTTAATAAATAAGCTTCAAGTGAACTTGAGAGAGAGAGAGAGAGAGAGAGAGAGAGAGAGAGAGAGAGAGAGAGAGAGAGAGAGAGAGAGAGAGAGAGAGAGAGAGAGAGAGAGAGAGAGAGAGAGAGAGAGAGAGAGAGAGAGAGAGAGAGAGAGAGAGAGAGAGAGAGAGAGAGAGAGAGAGAGTGTGTGTGTGTGTGTGTGTGTGTGTCTTGTCTGTAATTGCTCTTTGGGTTACTTACCTTTACACAACTAGTAACTAAAACAAGTATGTATGTATGTAAGTATGTATTTAGTTGATGTAAAAATTGTGCTATTACACATACTCATACTATCTTTTTGATTCCAGAAAAAAACAGCAAACCATGAGAGGCTTCTTGATGGGAAATGCATCATGTACACCACAGCAAGCCGCTGTCTTGACGGATAGTATCCTCAACATGCTCGTCACTGACATGAGGCCTCTGTCGATGGTTGAAGATGACGGCTTCACTAAAATGATCCACACCTTGAACCCTGGTTACACTCTGCCCTCCAGGACTCACTTCACAAAGCTCATGGAGAGAAAATATGAAGAGACATTCAAGGAAGTGAAAACTGCAATAAACACCAACAACAGCAAACTTGCTCTCACCACTGATGTATGGACAAGTGTAGCAACTGAAGCCTACCTTGGCATTACATGCCACTACATCACAGATGACTGGGACATGCAGTCATTCTGCCTCACCACCATGCCACTGCAGGACAGACATACTGCATCTAACATTGCAGAGTGGTTGGAGCAGGTAGTGGCCAGATTTGAAATTCCTCCTAGCAAAATCATTGCCATAGTCCATGACAATGGTGCTAATATCGTGGCTGCAGCAAATATCCTGGAGGAGAAGCATGGGTGGTCCTCTGTCCGTTGCACTGGCCATACTTTGCAACTTGTGATCAATACTGCGTTGAAGCATCCAAGCATTGAAAAAGCTGTCGGGGCTGCAAGATGTCTGGTAGAACATTTTAAGAAAAGCGAGCTAGCCAGCAGTAAACTCAGAGAGAAACAACAACAAATGGCCACACCAGAGCACAGCCTTGTTCAAGACATAAGCACAAGGTGGAATAGCACATTCTATATGATAAGTCGACTGCTTGAGCAAAGGTGGCCTGTAACAGCAACACTGTCCGACAGCTCTGTCACACAGAGAGGCAAAAGGTACCTGGATCTGAAACCAGACCAGTGGAGCCTGCTGGAAGAGCTTTCAACAGTCCTCAAGCCTTTTGAATGTGTCACTGTGTTCATGAGTGGACAGAAATATGCAACAGTATCTGCAATACCTCCACTTGTGAAGGGGCTGTTGAAGTCCACCCAGAGTGCTGTCTACGAGTCAGCCCCGCTGCGGGCTTTCCAACTCACTGCGGTGCAGCAGTTGCAGGAGAGATGGAAAAGGGAGACTGCTTTCTCAGATGGAGCACCAAACACAGTGATTTTTGCGATGGCCCTTGACCCAAGGTTTAGGAAACTGAGCAAGTTTCTTTCACCTGATGAAATCCTACCTGTTCAAACTAAACTGCAAACAATGTCACTTGAAGAGAGAAGGAAGATGGATGTGCAGCATCATGGCAGTTGCAGTGTTGTTACCTCCACCAATACTACAGCTACTGAATCAACACCTCTAGTAGCCACTCTACTTGATTCACTCCTTGGTTCTGATGGTGAAGAAGAGGATAGAGCAGGCGAAGCTGAGGATGTCCACAGCCAAGTGAGGAACGAAGTCCTCACATACTTTGGAGAAAAGAGCCTTGCCAAGGAAGAAAACCCATTATTGTGGTGGAAGGCTAACAATGAAAGATATCCCATGTTGGCCAGGCTAGCCAAGTCTTACCTCTGCATCCCTGCCACCTCAACACCATCTGAGCGGCTGTTTTCTGCAGCAGGCAACATAGCCTCAAAGAAAAGAGCGAGCCTGAGCCAGGAGCATGTGGACATGCTCACATTTTTGCATTGCAATGCAAAGTGTCTGAACAAAGGGAGTGAGAGAGAGTAAGTGTGTGTGTGTGTGTGTGTGTGTGTGAGTGTGTGAGTGTGTGAGTGTGTGAGTGTGTGCGTGTGTGCGTCTGCGAGTGTGTGCGTCTGCGAGTGTGTGCGTCTGCGAGTGTGTGCGTCTGCGAGTGTGTGCGTCTGCGAGTGTGTGCGTCTGCGAGTGTGTGCGTCTGCGAGTGTGTGCGTCTGCGAGTGTGTGCGTCTGCGAGTGTGTGCGTCTGCGAGTGTGTGCGTCTGCGAGTGTGTGCATCTGCGAGTGTGTGCGTCTGCAGTGTAGTGTAGAGAACAAGTTCTGACATTCAAACAAATCCTGTTAAATTTTCTGATTTGTATTGTTCTTTATTTTTTATAAATTATTTATTGTTCTGGCAGCTCAGGTGGCACTTTATTTAAAAAAAAAGTCTATATATTTGGCAGATGTAAAGCATACATGTGTATGTTTTTTGTGTAAGTCCATTTTTATTTTATTTTATTATTATTATTATAACAGCTCAGGGATGTTCAAGGAGCAACATGTTTGTGCACTTTCTAAAGGTTTTAGTTCTGTTTTTGAATAAAGGGTTGGAAATGAATGTTTTTCTTGCTTTTGTGTTTTTTATCCGATTCATCGATTAATCGAAAAAATAATCGACAGATTAATCGATTATTAAAATAATCGTTAGTTGCAGCCCTAAACAACAATTACAAACATTTACAAATTAATTCTTCCTTTAACAGCTCATTAATCAAGAATTTAAAAGTGTTCATTGACTCTAAGGTCTGCAACTTCAAGTTGTGTTGTAAAAAGTTGCAATCATTGGGCGCTGCAAACTGAAAAGCTTGTTTTCCAAGTTCAGTTTGTGCAAATGGAACCGAAAGAATGTACAAGTCCTGTGAGCGCAGAGAATAAGCTCCAGGAGCTTTAGGCTGGGTGAGGGAACAAAGATATGGAGGCAGTTAACCCTAGATGGATTTATAGATAAATGTGTACCAGTGATTACGTCTGCGTGTTGATAATGACGTCCAACCAACTCTATTATACAAATCACAATGATGGGTACTAACATTACAATTTAATATAAACCTGAGCGCACCGTGATACAGTGTCCAGAGAACTTAAAAGTTTGGTAGATGCCGATTTATACAGAATGTCTCCATAATCAAGAACTGGCATAAATGTGGCAGAAACCGATCTTCTTGCCTCGAATGAAAAGCAAGGTTTATTTCTCTAATAGGACCCATGCTTTACCTTTAGTTTTGTCCTTAGTTGATTAATATGGGATTTAAA